TGGTCTAATGGCTGAATGCGGTTTCTGGGACCTTACCACAGGTGATCCTCATCCACATGGTGGCACTTTGTGTCATTGGATGTTTATCGCTTGTGTGATGTCTTGGTGGGGTGAAAGTACTACTACTACTACTACTAGGAGAAACATAACCTTCCTGAATGACTTTTCTCCAGACCTTTATGCGTTTTTACATTCCCACAACATTTCATTTTCCTAAAATTTATTTGTCTGCAGAACCAATATTCTTCATTGAGATATTCTTGTTGGATACATTATTTTTCTGCACAATCAATATTCTTCATTGAGATATTCTTGTTGGATACAGTATTTGTCTGCAGAATCAATATTCTTCATTGAGATATTCTTGTTGGATACAGTATTTTTCTGCAGAATCAATATTCTTCATTGAGATATTCTTGTTGGATACAGTATTTGTCTGCAGAATCAATATTCTTCATTGAGATATTCTTGTTGGATACAGTATTTGTCTGCAGAACCAATATTCTTCATTGAGATATACTTGTTGGATACATTATTTTTCTGCACAATCAATATTCTTCATTGAGATATACTTGTTGGATACATTATTTTTCTGCAGAATCAATATTCTTCATTGAGATATTCTTGTTGGATACAGTATTTGTCTGCGGAACCAATATTCTTCATTGAGATATACTTGTTGGATACATTATTTTTCTGCAGAATCAATATTCTTCATTGAGATATACTTGTTGGATACATTATTTTTCTGCAGAATCAATATTCTTCATTGAGATATACTTGTTGGATACATTATTTTTCTGCAGAACCAATATTCTTCATTGAGATATACTTGTTGGATACAGTATTTTTCTGCAGAACCAATATTCTACATTGAGATATACTTGTTGGATACATTATTTTTCTGCAGAATCAATATTCTTCATTGAGATATACTTGTTGGATACATTATTTTTCTGCAGAACCAATATTCTTCATTGAGATATACTTGTTGGATACAGTATTTTTCTGCAGAATCAATATTCTTCATTGAGATATACTTGTTGGATACATTATTTTTCTGCAGAATCAATATTCTTCATTGAGATATACTTGTTGGATACATTATTTTTCTGCAGAATCAATATTCTTCATTGAGATATTCTTGTTGGATACAGTATTTTTCTGCAGAACCAATATTCTTTATTGAGATATACTTGTTGGATACATTATTTTTCTGCAGAATCAATATTCTTCATTGAGATATACTTGTTGGATACATTATTTTTCTGCAAAATCAATATTCTTCACTCCAAGGCTACTTCCTCTTCAACTGCCCCTGCCCCCAGATTTAATCACTGAATCTACTATAATGCCCACTTTAGTCATAACTAATTATTATTATTGGAAAAAAAATAATTAATACTTGGTAATTGGGTTATCTGTTTCCAAAAGTGTTTTAAACGAAAACTATGCAATTTAAAAAAAAAAGGGCAGTGTCTGGTATGACTTGAAGACAGGATCATCAGTATGAAGGCAGACACTAGGAAATCACATGATAAAATTCAGTTAAAATAAAACCAGTATTGTTGTACAATATAACAGACACATGTATTTTTAAGTTGTACAGTATAGAAAAGGATTAATTTTGATCATCATATCAAAACGTGGCCATATACAATATGTGTATCGTATTGATCACTGAGTGATCCAATTCAGATCTCTTTGAAAGTGTGGGCAGTGTCAGATCATCTTGCTTACTGCCAGAAGTACACATCTCCTGAGTGCCGTAAAGACAGCCTGACTCATAACTGACACATCCTTACCATCACTGCTTGAAAGAAACCCTCCAATAATTCAACAACTTTAACCTGTTTTCTTGCCATTTTGTCTAAATAAAATGTAGACTACTGCAAAAAAGTACAAATATATTTCAAGGGACAAAATACACAGATCACCTACCATACATCTAAATTCATGTAGTAGGTGTGTTAATCGTATGTAAATGGGTCACTTGGACCTGAAAATTGGTAATGTTTATTGTCATTTGGCTCCCAAACCTAAAAGTCCTTGGCACTGTAAGCAAAGTTTGAAATGTGTTTTTGTACTCATAGGTTCCTTGCTGCAATCATCACCCACCTCCCTCCATCTCTGTATTTTTACATCTGTCTGTAAATAACCTCTCCACTATCTTCTTAGTCTGCCTTGTGATCTACTCCCATTCAACTCTTTTGTTTACACAGCTTTTGTCTCTCGGTTGTCTGGCATACGTACTGGCCTGTAGCAGCACATTTTGTCTCTTTATTGTCTGGCATACGTACTGGCCTGTAGCAGCACATTTTGTCTCTTTATTGTCTGGCATACGTACTGGCCTGTAGCAGCACATTTTGTCTCTTTATTGTCTGGCATGGCATACGTACTGGCCTGTAGCAGCACATTTTGTCTCTTTATTGTCTGGCATACGTACTGGCCTGTAGCAGCACATTTTGTCTCTTTATTGTCTGGCATACCTACTGGCCTGTAGCAGCACATTTTGTCTCTTTATTTGTCTGGCATACGTACTGGCCTGTAGCAGCACATTTTGTCTCTTTATTGTCTGGCATACGTACTGGCCTGTAGCAGCACATTTTGTCTCTTTATTGTCTGGCATACGTACTGGCCTGTAGCAGCACATTTTTTTCTCTTTATTGTCTGGCATACGTACTGGCCTGTAGCAGCACATTTTGTCTCTTTATTGTCTGGCATACCTACTGGCCTGTAGCAGCACATTTTGTCTCTTTATTGTCTGGCATACGTACTGGCCTGTAGCAGCACATTTTGTCTCTTTATTGTCTGGCATACGTACTGGCCTGTAGCAGCACATTTTGTCTCTTTATTGTCTGGCATACGTACTGGCCTGTAGCAGCACATTTTGTCTCTTTATTGTCTGGCATACGTACTGGCCTGTAGCAGCACATTTTGTCTCTTTATTGTCTGGCATACGTACTGGCCTGTAGCAGCACATTTTGTCTCTTTATTGTCTGGCATACGTACTGGCCTGTAGCAGCACATTTTGTCTCTTTTTTTTGTCTGGCATACATACTGGCCTGTAGCAGCTCATTTTGTCTCTCTTTTTGTTTTTCTGGTATACGTACTGGCCTGTAGCAGCACATTTTGTCTCTTTATTGTCTGGCATACGTACTGGCATGTAGCAGCACATTTTGTCTCTTTATTGTCTGGCATACGTACTGGCCTGTAGCAGCACATTTTGTCTCTTTATTGTCTGGCATACGTACTGGCCTGTAGCAGCACATTTTGTCTCTGTCTTTATTGTCTATCATACGTACTGGCCTGTAGCAGCACATTTTGTCTCTTTATTGTCTGGCATACGTACTGGCCTGTAGCAGCACATTTTGTCTCTTTATTGTCTGGCATACGTACTGGCCTGTAGCAGCACATTTTGTCTCTTTATTGTCTGGCATACGTACTGGCCTGCAACAGCACATTTTGTCTCTTTATTGTCTGGCATATGTACTGGCCTGTAGCAGCACATTTTGTCTCTTTATTGTCTATCATATGTACTGGCCTGTAGCAGCACATTGTGTCTCTTTATTGTCTGGCATACGTACTGGCATGTAGCAGCACATTTTGGGGACATTCTCAGTGAAGCTAGTTCACGTTTTTTTTGTGTGTCTGATGTTATATTCTGTGGCTCAGTCGTTTCCAGATTGCATTGTAGTTCCAGAATGCCCAGTTTAATTCCAGCTGCAGGCCATTTTGCAGCGGTGAGCATTCAATAACAGTTTAGTTGAGTTGAGTTGAATCAAGAATTGACATCACAGCACTTGGGGCATTCCCTTGCATGCCCTGTCCTCATCTTCAACAGCCAGTGCAGAGTTCCATTACTGATGGTACCGATCGCAATCTGGTTAAAAGTCCGTCTTGCCTTTCCTCTGAGTGTAGTGAGCCGTCCAGACCCTCTGGTTTCACCCAGGTGCCTCATTCTCTCCAGACCATAATAATCTTCTTTCTCTGATTCCGTTGCTTGTTCCCAAAGGCCCTTGACCACATCCGCCTTGTCATGTTCATTACCCACCACACCAGCATGGCCTGGAGAAAAGATCCAAAGTATGCTCACCACCCATGACCTTTCCAATGAAGCTAGCCACTCTGCTCAAAGCATCCCTGTCTTCACCTTTTTCAGTATGCTTTTAGAGTCTGTTACAATTATGCCATGTGTATGCATCTTGTTCTCTAGCCACCAGAGAGCTGCAGTTACCAGCTCCACCTCCATTCTCATGCTAAATGTTGTGGTGTCATATGCTAGGCTGTCTTGCACTAAAGATTTTCCATTGGCTTTCGCTACGAACCCCCGGGCACTTCTCTTTCCTCTCAAAACTGAACCATCTGTATAGATAATCAGATCACCTGAGCATGAATTGTCGTGAATCAACTGTTGGACTTTCACCTCCGTAGTACCCGCTGGCCACTCTCTGTACTCCTGGACCAATGTGATCAAAACCCTACACAGGTCAGACTTTCCTGCTGGTACTCTGACCCACTCCTCTCCTCGCCAAATGTTCTCCAGCATGCATACTTGTCTTATTGTGTCTTCTGCTTGAGCCATCCACCATTTTCCCCTTTTCAGTCTCTGACCCTTGCCTGCAACCAAAGATTCATACAGAGGGTGTTCTCTGTCTGCAGTAACAGTGGCCAACTACTGAACGTAAAATTGGCTTGTAAAGTTGCAGGCAACCCAAAATAATTTATTACAATTAAAATAAAAGGGTTGGAGTTGGTTCTGCAACGTCCTATAAAGGGTATGCAGCTAACTTTTGTTATGCCTGAAGATAATGTATGTCTTTGCTTATTATAGTATTTGTTGTTGTTGCAGAATTGGTGGTTACAGGACTGCATAGTCCCAGCTTAATGACTAGATTGTGACTTTTTTCTTTTCTTTTTTTTTTGCAGACATTGTGGCTATCAAATGCTGTGTCCTTGCTTAATGACTGTAGATGGTTTTTTTTTCTTTTTTTTTTCAGAAATGGAGATTCTGAAACTGCCCCACTGATGCAAACATTTTGTTTCAATTATCCTAATTTACAAACTGCTCCACAAGCCCTCCAGTCTCACAGTAATAAGCTTTATTTGAAGTTCAGATCAAATTATTATACTACAGGCCGAGGTTTCCGCTTGGAGTACTCAAGTGCTACATCAGGTTGGTAGTCCAGGTTTCAGATCAGATATCCCTATTTCATCAGATCTCCTTATCTCAACAGATCTCATCTCATTAGATCTTACTATCTCATCAGATCTTATCTTATCAGTTCTTACTATCTCATCAGATCTTCTTATCTCCTCAGATCTTATCTCATCAGATCATACTATCTCATCAGATCTTCTTATCTCACCATATCTCACCTCATCATATCTCATTATCTCATCAGATCTCACTTTCACATCAGATCTAATGAAATCTCACTGTCTTATCAGATCTACTTATCTCATCAGTTCTTATTATCTCATCACATCTCCTTATCTCATCTCATCAGATCTCCTTATCAGATCTCCTTATCAGATCTCCTTATCTCATCAGATCTCCTTATCTCATCTCATCAGATCTCCTTATCTCATCAGATCTCCTTATCTCATCAGATCTCCTTATATCATCTCATCAGATCTCCTTATCTCACCTCATCAGATCTCCTTATCTCATCAGATCTCTTTATCTCACTAGATCTCCTTATCCATCAGATCTTATCTCATGAGATCTCTGTATTCTCCTTCTCCTCCTCTTCTCCTCCTTCTACTTCTAAACTTCCTCTTTAATGATGTTGAGACAGATTTGACTTATTGCTTCTCTCCCTGCCTTGACCATAGACAGATGGCGTTGTAATATGTTTAATTTCCATCACGTTCTAAGTCTTTTTTATGCTATACTTCCATCTCATCTTTTGACGTATGCTTTATACGGTATGGCAACAGAAATCATTCTCTCTAAATGGCTCAACCATTGTTTTTGCTGTCTTTATATTTAATTTAGTATTCATTATTTGCCAAATTTTTTCCTCTTATGACTTAATTTTTGATTTGATCCCATCTTGTCACTCCTGCAGCCTTTTTGGACATCTCATTTCCTTGGTTACGCAATCAATTTCTAAGAAAAAATCTGGCAAATTTATTTGGAACTCTAATACAGATGACAAGGGCAGTGAGAAGTGGATGGAAGAATAACAGCTTGAATGTGTTGAGAGATTTCTTGAAAAAAAAAAAAATATGGAAAAACCCGACAATAAGACAAACTGTATGTCAGCAGCTTTCATTATATGGCAGAGACCACACTTTACAGACAGTCTCAGTGACATTATAGTAAGCAACCACACATTCAGAACCTAGATGTCAGCAGCACACATTCTAGTGAGCTGTATGGGAGACCACACATTACAGACACCCTATATGTCAGTAGTACACATTTTAGTGAGCTGTATGGGAGATTTTAGTGCCACCCTGTATGTCAGTAGCACACACAGTGAGCTGTATGGGAGACCACACACCCAAACACCTATATGTCAGCAGCACACATTATAGTGAGCTGTATGGGAGATCACACATTACAGACACCCTGTATATCAGTAGCACACATTAAAGTGAGCTGTATGGGAGATCACACATTACAGACACCCTGTATGTCAGTAGCACACATTAAAGTGAGCTGTATGGGAGACCACACATTACAAACACCCTATATGTCAGTAGCACACATTATAGTGAGCTGTATGGGAGATCACACATTACAGACACCCTATATGTCAGTAGCACACATTATAGTGAGCTGTATGGGAGACCACACATTACAGACACCCTATATGTCAGTAGCACACATTATAGTGAGTTGTATGGGAGACCACACATTACAAACACCCTATATGTCAGTAGCACACATTATAGTGAGCTGTATGGGAGACCACACATTACAGACACCCTGTATGTCAGTAGCACACATTAAAGTGAGCTGTATGGGAGACCACAATTACAGATACCCTGTATGTTAGTAGCACATATTATAGTGAGCTGTATAGAAGACTACACACTACAGACACCCTGTATGTCAGTAGCACACATTATAGTGAGCTGTATAGGAGACTACACACTACAGACACCCTATATGTCAGTAGCACACATTTTAGTGAGCTGTATGGGAGACCACACATTACATACACCTTATATGTCAGTAGCACACATTATAGTGAGCTGTATGGGAGACCACACACTACAGACACCCTGTATGTCAGTAGCACACATTTTAGTAAGCTGTATGGGAGACCACTCATTACAGACACCCTGTATGTCAGTAGCACACATTTTAGTGAGCTGTATGGGAGACCACATATTACAGACACCCTATATGTCAGTAGCACACATTTTAGTGAGCTGTATGGAAGACCACACATTACAGACACCCTGTATGTCAGTAGCACACATTATAGTGAGCTGTATGGGAGACCACACATTACAGACACCTTCTGTGTCAATAGCTCAGACTTATCTCAATCTAACAGGTTGCGGGGGAGACCTCACTACACCCACAGGAGGCATCATCTCACCAAACTACCCCCAGCCCTTCACACACAGTGCAACATGCTACTGGACAATAACTGTGTCTCAGGGCAGCTCAATTACCCTCTACTTTGTAGACCTTCAGATTTCCGCCTACAGTTACTGCAGGTCAGACTTTCTAGAGGTAAGACAACACTTAGTGCAAAATCTGTAACATTTTTAGCAACTAACTAATTATAAGAGCAGAGGGGGCAGAGCTAACAACATGAAATTTACTGATTCCCTGTGCGGGTTCTGGGGCCCAATTAACTTTTTCCTGGGTGTACACCTAGTGAATGCAAAGAAGAAGAACAAGAAGAAGAAAAAAAGAAGAAGAAGAAAGCAAGAAGAAAAAAAGAAGTAGAAGAAGAAAAAAGAAGAAGAAGAAGAAGAAGAAGAAGAAGAAGAAGAAGAAGAAGAAGAAGAAGAGGGTTAATTGGTTTAGTGGGATCTGGCTAACAAGTGAATCATAGAACAAACAAATATTTCTGACGGTTAACTGGTTTAATGGGGTCTGGCTAACAAGTGAATCATAGAACAAACAGATGTTTCCAGAGGTTTAACTGGTTTAATTGGGTCTGGCTAACAAGTGAATCATAGAACAAACAAATATTTCTGAGGGTTAACTGGTTTAATGGGGTCTGGCTAACAAGTGAATCATAGAACAAACAGATGTTTCCAAGGGTTAACTGGTTTAATGGGGTCTGGCTAACAAGTGAATCATAGAACAAACAGATGTTTCTGAGGGTTAATTGGTTTAATTGGGTCTGGCTAACAAGTGAATCACTGCAGCCAATTAAATGACATTTACAAAAGGGAATCTTCTCCTTCTTTACATCCTTTGGAGATGTAATGTCCTGTTTTGTGCTCTTCTGGCTGCTTCAACCATTGAAACATCATTGTGCTGTAAAGTTTATCTGATGTTATCTTCCCAACTTGTTCTTGGTCTATCTCTTGGTCTATGTCCTTCTCCTCTTTTGGTATATGCCTTGTATAGTATAGCATTAGAAGGCATTCTCTCCAAGTGGGCAAACCATTTGATTTGCTGTCTTTGTCTGTAATTTAAAATTGGTTCTGTGCCGACTTAATCTCGTATGAACTCTTTCCTGTTTTATCTTCTCTGGTCACTACTACAGTCTTTCTCAGACACCTCATATCCAAGGGTAGTAATTTTCTTTTATGAATTGTTGTGACTGACCACGTCTGCTACTGATAGCATAGGGTGAGAATGAAAATGCTTTGTATAAGATGTCTCTGTGCTGACTGGGATTTCCTTATGCTGTAAGAGGGGGACCTGCTTTACTGCATCAGATGTTAATTTCTTTGTCCAATTTACCATGTTAGCAAATGTTGTTCCAAGATATTTAAACTTAGATGCCTGTTTAATATATGTATGCTCTAATGCTATATTTAAATCCTGCTTCTTTCTTCCTGACAAAAATTAGTAAAAGTAGGAAATGTCAGCCTTGCTGCTTCTTAGAACAAGAGAGTTGAGAAACATTTGACAAGACTTCACATAAATCTTCTTCTTCTTCTTCTTCTTCGCGTTCACCAGCTGTACACTCTGGCGGAAAGTTCTGGTTGCTCATCCACTACTAAACTGCAGTCCTGCTCCAGAACCTGAGTGTTGCGTGTGCATCAGTTTTACAGATCTCATTCTCTTGAATACAGACTGTTGGTTCCTTGCCTCTCCGGCAGATGCACTCCGACTTCAAAGGAAGCTCCCCAATTAGTCGACTCTTACGACATGCTTTTAGGGAGGCAGTGGGTCTATTCTTGTTTTCCCCACAATGGGGCCCCGGAACCCACACGGGGGTTCACATAAATGTATCCTCTGCAGTGAGGTCAGTATGCCAGTATTAGTAGTCAGGGCGTTTTAACGCTACATATAATTTCCAGATAAAAGAAGAAAGTCGTTCGGGGACATCTCTTGGCAAATTTTGTGGCAGTGGTGTTCGTCAGCCAGTCATCTCAAAGTCCAACCGCGTGTGGCTAATGTGGAAAACTGACGGCCTCACTGTCCAAAGAGGATTCAGGCTTCAGTATCAAATAAGTAAGTTACACTTTTATGTGCTTATCACCATCATCAAGCACCATGTGAGCTGGCATTTAGGATTATGCTTCTCCCCATCTTGCTATCTCCAACTGAATGTCTTGGTTTGTACACTGGGAGATAACGCTACTCAACCACACATAGTCGTGTAACAGGGCTCATACAAGTCAAAAGATATAGAGATGCTGAACCTAACATGGTGGTGTACCAGGACTACTTCTTCTTCTTCTTCAGCATTCCGAACCCTTGAGGTTCATTGCTGCAGTAATCACCCACCTCCATTCATCTCTCTGGTTGGCCTTCTTCTTTAGCTTTCCGAACCCTTGAGGTACATTGCTGCAGATATCACCCGCCTCCATTCATCTCTCTGGTTGGCCCTCTCTTTCAAATTGGTGACACCAAGTGTTTGCAGGTCTGCCTGGACATTATCTCTCCATAATCTTCTTGGTCTGCCTCGTGGTCTACAACCATTCATCTCCCTTGTGTATACAGTTTTTACTTCTCTGTCATCTGATATTCTTTAAATATGCCCCAACCATTTCAGTCTATTAGCTCTCATGATACCAGTGATCAATGGTGATTTAAACAGATTATGAATTTCGTTTTTACTTTTCACTCTCCATTCCCCACTGTTTGCATCTTTGATAGGTCCAAACATTTATCCTAGGACTGTTTTTGAAAATCTGAGATGAGCCTTCGTCTCTTTTAGTTGTTCTCCAAGTTTCAGAGCCATATAAAATGACTGGTCTTATCAATGTTTGATACATTTTGATCTTGGTGTTGCAAGACAGACACTTTTACTTTAGCATATGTTGAAGGGCATAGAATAATTTATTTCCAGATTGTATTCTAGATTGTATTTCGTTTCTCAGCATGTTGGAGCAGTTGAAATGTGCACCCAGGACTAGTACAGCGAAATGTCACAATGTAATGTGGTTCTACATCAAAATGCCGCAATGACATGTACTGTCTACAGTAAAATGTCATTATGTCATGTACAGTATACAGTTAAATGTCACAATGTCATGCGGTGTCTACAGTAAAAATATCACAATGTCATGTAGTGTCTACATTTAAATTCCACAATGTCATCTGTTGTCTACAGTAAAATGCCACTGTGTCATGTCATGTCTGTAGTAAAATGTCACAATGCCATGTTATGTCTAGAGTAAAATGTCATGTCTTATGGTATCTACAGTAAATATCACACATTTATGTCATTTGCACAATGACAAACATGCTCATACAAATCCCACAGTAAAATCTCACAGTGTCATGAGATTTCTACAGTAAATTGTTACGCTGTAATATCATTGCTACAGTAAGGTGCTACACAACACTGTCATTGCTACAGTAGAAGATTGTACTTACATGTAAAGTGCAGATTAAGATCTCTGACCATTCTATATCTTACAGACTGCAATAGACATCTGACAGGCATCGGTGGAGTTATAGAGAGCCCTAACTTCCCCAACACTTACCCTCATCACACAAACTGTACCTGGATCATTGAAGCCCCAGCGGGGAACAGAATCAATGTCTCATTTGCTGCTTTCAGATTGGAAGATGAAGATCCTAAAAACTGTCATTATGACATTTTAGAGGTTTGTTTATCTTTTAAATCACTTTCTCTTTTATTTACTTGAGCATCTTGACTGTGGTGATGGGCTTAGATAGTATGTCATTCACGTTGCAAGGAACCAATCAAACATTGATTGGTTAAACTATATGTGGTACACATTTTCTGTCCTTTCCCATTATTCTATTATGTTAACCCTTTATTTTTCTGGCTGTAACTTTAACACATTTTTTCCTAAATCTGTATTTGTTTAGCTCTGTGAGACTAAAAACTGACTGCTCAAAGATACAAAAAGGTTAGCAGAAACAATGTTGAAATCAACACTACCTGGGACTGAAAGAGTTAACTAGTTCCTGACTGTGTTTTGTATCTCAAAACCCAATCTCCCATTACCTCTTATGGTAAATAAAATAATCCATTCTCAAAATTGAAATTATTTTAAAATAAAACCCAAAAAAAAAAAAATTAAAAGAACTACTGTCACTCAAATTAAGATAATGCAAAGACATTGATCAGCAGTGAGAATGAGCATTTCTAGGCAATAGTGAAACATTTTGTATACCATTTCTGGGCAATAGTGAAACATTTTGTATACCATTTCTAGGCAATAGAGAAACATTTTGTAAATTATTTCTAGGCAATAGAGAAACATTTTGTATACCATTTCTAGGCAATAGAGAAACATTTTGTATACCATTTCTAGGCAATAGAGAAAAATGTGGCTCTCCTAGCAGATTTGGCTGGCAAGTAGGTCGGCTTCGGTCGGCATAGTGGGAGTTCTTTCCCTTGGCCACACTCACAACAACGAGCAGAAAACGTCACGACTCAAACACGACAGTGAAGTCGACATCAGGGCTGCCAATGCTTGGTTGTGTCCCCCAGATCTGGGTTTTTCTTTTGACGCTGCGGGAAAATCTGGGTTTTGTGTGTGTGTGTGTGTGTCTGTCTGTGGGTGTTTTGCCGATCTGTAAGCTTTAATGACCGATAAATTTGCGTGGTTAGGGGTTGGGTTAGGGTTAGCGGTAGGATTAGGGTTTGGGTTAGGGGTAGGGTTATGGTTAGGATTAGGGGTAGCGTTAGGGTTACGGTTAGGGTTAGGGGTAGCGTTAGGGTTACGATTAGGGTTAGAGATAAAGTTAGGGTTAGGGGTTAGGGTTAGGGGTTAGGGTTAGGTGTAGCGTTAGATGTGACAATTGTGACGCCGTAGTTCCCTATAATCGCGCACAGTCGCATGCACAGTCGACGGACGGTGGATGCTACTGACACGGATAATTCGCCACCGATTGGGCACCAGCCGCGCGCTATTGCCGTCATATTTGCCACACTTCCAGTGGCGCCACTCCCACAAACATCACATTGTCGGCCAGTATTTTGACCTCTTACGTGAAAATTTTCACATCTAACCCTAACCCTAACCCTACCCCTAACCCTAACCTTAACCCCTAACCCTACCCCTAACCCTAACCCCTAACCCTAGCCCTAACCCTACCGCTAACCCAAACCCTAAGCAACCCTACACGCAACCGTATGATGATGATAGACACCCTACGCAGCCCTACACGCAACCGTATGATGATGATAGACACCCTACGCAGCCCTACACGCAACCGTATGATGATAGGTAACCCTAGACACAACCGTACGCAACCCTACACGCACCCGGATGATGATAGCTAAGTATGTCATTTGATTCGTGACTTTTTCCGCTCGTTGTTGTGAGTGCGGCCAAGGGACAGAACTCCCACTACGCCGACCGAAGCCGACCTACTTGCCGGCCAAATCTGCTAGGTGAGCCAAAATACCATTTCTAGGCAATAGAGAAACAGTTTGTATACCATTATACATTTTTTTAATTATGTTATTTGATTTTACATGATACTTATGTATGCAGTATGTAAATAAATTGCTGTTATCAATTGTCATCTGTGGCTTTCTTCTGTTTCCTTAGCGAAGAAGGTTTTATTAAAACCCATCTGTTATTGTCTGTGTCTGTCATTTCCTTAAAACCCTTCTGAAATGATCAACAACATTGTCATTGAAGACATTAGTGTCTCTGGAAACAGACTGAGTTGGATGCCTCTTCTTCACTAATCAACATCATGCCATAACACTGTTTGTCATTGAGTCACCAGTTTATGTTGACTCTCTGATCAGTCTGGTGGTCAGTTGTGATGGACTTCATGGTTGTATGCCTGCGGCCTGTCCAGTCAGTCAGGTTCTGTAACCAGGCCTTTCTTGGTTTGCCTCTTCTTCTCTTTCCCTCTACTGAGCCCTGCAGTATTGTTTTTGAGAGGCTATTAGATCTTATTACATGTCCTTACCATTGCATTTTCTCCCTTTCACTGTAGTTAAAAAAGGTTCATAACCACCAATGTGCTGTATAATTTTTTTGACGAACCTCTTCGTTTGTAATGTGGTCTCTGCATGATATGCCAAGAATCTTTCTGAAGCATCACATTTCCAATACTTGTATCTTTCTTTCGAGTTCAGCTGTTAAGGTCCACATTTCACAGCCCTGTGTAAATGTTCTAATAGCTAGTGCCCTGAGTGATCGCATCTTTGTTTTTCATGAAATATTTTTGGATCTCCATAATGTCTGCTGCTTGGCAAGGACTGATGTTGTCTGGGTCAATCCTATAAATTATTTCTGGTTTTGACCCCAGGTCACTTAAAATGGATCCTAAATATTTAAAATTATTAACTTGTTCTAACTTTTAGTTTTTAACGTAGATTGGGATGCACTGGTAATTATTTTGTTCACTACTTATTTTTATTCGCCCTGGTGCTGCAAGATTAATTTTTATGTCCCTTGTTGGTCTTGCTCCCATTTTTTTCAGTGTTTTCATCTCTGAAGATATTGTAGCAAAGTCAGTACCCCTACCCCCTTTTTAGTGTTGTGCTGTTAGGACGACAAGACCCCTTGTGGCCTTCACCCTTATTGTTCGAACTTGTGCTTTGCAAGCAACTATATCCCCTAGGTCCCTACTCTTGTTTCCCACGTACTTTGAGTCGTCTGATTTGACATCATGTGACTTTCCCCGTCCAGCATAAAAGCAATTAGTCTGCATAACTAAAATACCTATGTCCCGGCCAGCTAAGGTCGCTGCAGAATCTGCAAAACAATGAGGGTTATGAGCCCCCTGGGAGCAGGCTAGTAACCCCTTTATAAACGATTGCCCGGAACCTTTGACACACAGACACGGACACAGACAAGGAGCAGACAGGCCACAGGATAGTCGGGGACAGACAGAGGATAGACACATATAGAGGAGGGACAAGACACAAGACATAGACAGAGACAGGCCAGAGGAGAAGACGGAGATAGACAGAGGCAGAAGAAAGAGGACAGCAGAGGACAGCAGAGGACAGGCCAGAGGACAGGCTAGAGATAGGGACAGAGATAGATAGTAGAGCGAAGTACTGGTCAGTTAAAACAACGAAGGAAGGTTGATTAGAAAGTGTAGATAAAAAGATAGTTAAAGATATATATATATGTATTCGATTAGGATTACTGTCAGAAACAGTGGCCCATTCCGACTGGTCACGATTATTTTTACGCAAGACAACGGATCAACTCTTGTATACCGCTTCATAGTAAGAGAGTTTCACATTTTTCACCACCCATGGGTCCAGCCGGATTCAGGTGTAGATACAACTTCGGGGACAGATACTGACTCGGAGACAGATGAAGAAGAGGCCGGAGCACAGTAGACTAGAAGAACTACATATAGGCCGGACTTCCCGAAAATCTCCAAATGAATTTTATAAGTAGAAGATAAAACCTGTTGAACCAACCTGCACTAGTAGCCCGGTGGCAGTTAAAGACAATAGAACCAGTTAACAATGTGATTTTGTAGTTTTGTGACATTTGTTGGAGTATCATAATAGATAGATTATAGACAAGAATAGTTGTTTCCAGACACTTTATTATATAAGCAGAGTCATGTGAGAAGCATGCAACGAGTGCTAAGTGTGCATCATCATCACCACTAACGACACGACCATCTTTCCCCTCGTCCATAAACAATCACCCGCCACCCTTGTGACAAACAATACATGAACCTGGGTTAGGAATAAAAGAGACGACTGTGTCACAGAAAGAGGTACGGGTGGCCAAGGTGATTCTGGTGCCGTGACCAGGATTTGGATGGGCTGGGTTAAAATCTACTCAATGAAACTAAAAAATAATCTCTTGTCGTGCTGTTTCATCTCTTTTCTGATGATGTAAGGGGAACATGTTTGGAAAGGTAAAGTTGATCTAGGGATGTCTCATACTGTATCAAGCGTCTACTGGTCCAAATTATACATCATAAATCTAGTGGGCCTTACATCTAAACGCTTCACAAATTAATTATTACAAAATATCACTACCAGTGTCTGCCTGCATTCTTCTCTGCCACTAACAAAACAACGACTGTTGGAAACTTTGTTTATCTTTCCTCCACGCTAGCTGGGTGTTGCTGTTTCCATGACCTAGGGTCAGCAAATTGACAGAGCAATGAGGATTCTAACTTTTCACACCTCTTGCAGCGTAGATACATAAACACATAGACAGTTTTACATTGTTTCAACCAAGGGTTCTAAAGTTTTGTGTTGCAATATTTGCTCTTTATCCGCATCCCTTATTTTTTTCCCTGCTGGGTTCTGAGCTCTTGTAGCTCTTCAGTGGTCTCTCAGTGTTTATTTTATGCATCTCTAAGGGCTCCTCTGTCTCTGTTTCATCAACTTCCAAATGCATGGTCTTGCCCTGGGAAACAACTGTATCGCTGGTTAAGATCATCAGCTTCCAAATGCATGGTCTTGCCCTGGGAAACAACTGTATCGCTGGTTAAGATCATCAACTTCCAAATGCATGGTCTTGCCCTGGGAAACAACTGTATCGCTGGTTAAGATCATCAGCTTCCAAATGCATGGTCTTGCCCTGGGAAACAACTGTATCGCTGGTTAAGATCATCAACTTCCAAATGCATGGTCTTGCCCTGGGAAACAACTGTATCGCTGGTTAAGATCATCAACTTCCAAATGCATGGTCTTGCCCTGGGAAACAACTGTATCGCTGGTTAAGATCATCAACTTCCAAATGCATGGTCTTGCCCTGGGAAACAACTGTATCGCTGGTTAAGATCATCAACTTCCAAATGCATGGTCTTGCCCTGGGAAACAACTGTATCGCTGGTTAAGATCATCAACTTCCAAATGCATGGTCTTGCCCTGGGAAACAACTGTATCGCTGGTTAAGATCATCAGCTTCCAAATGCATGGTCTTGCCCTGGGAAACAACTGTATCGCTGGTTAAGATCATCAACTTCCAAATGCATGGTCTTGCCCTGGGAAACAACTGTATTGCTGGTCAAGATCATCAGCTTCCAAATGCATGGTCTTGCCCTGGGAAACAACTGTATCGCTGGTTAAGATCATCAACTTCCAAATGCATGGTCTTGCCCTGGGAAACAACTGTATCGCTGGTTAAGATCATCAACTTCCAAATGCATGGTCTTGCCCTGGGAAACAACTGTATCGCTGGTGAAGATCATCAACTTCCAAATGCATGGTCTTGCCCTGGGAAACAACTGTATCGCTGGTGAAGATCATCAACTTCCAAATGCATGGTCTTGCCCTGGGAAACAACTGTATCGCTGGTGAAGATCATCAACTTCCAAATGCATGGTCTTGCCCTGGGAAACAACTGTACCGCTGGTTAAGATCATCAACTTCCAAATGCATGGTCTTGCCCTGGGAAACAACTGTATCGCTGGTGAAGATCATCAACTTCCAAATGCATGGTCTTGCCCTGGGAAACAACTGTATCGCTGGTGAAGATCATCAACTTCCAAATACATGGTCTTGCCCTGGGAAACAACTGTATCGCTGGTCAAGATCATCAGCTTCCAAATGCATGGTCTTGCCCTGGGAAACAACTGTATCGCTGGTGAAGATCATCAACTTCCAAATGCATGGTCTTGCCCTGGGAAACAACTGTATCGCTGGTGAAGATCATCAACTTCCAAATGCATGGTCTTGCCCTGGGAAACAACTGTATCGCTGGTGAAGATCATCAACTTCCAAATGCATGGTCTTGCCCTGGGAAACAACTGTATCGCTGGTGAAGATCATCAACTTCCAAATGCATGGTCTTGCCCTGGGAAACAACTGTATCGCTGGTGAAGATCATCAACTTCCAAATGCATGGTCTTGCCCTGGGAAACAACTGTATCGCTGGTTAAGATCATCAACTTCCAAATGCATGGTCTTGCCCTGGGAAACAACTGTATCGCTGGTTAAGATCATCAACTTAAGTGAGATACTGGGGGAATAGTGGAAAAAACAAGTATTTCCCAAACTTTTCTTAGTCGCTGCGACTTTTTTCAATTCAAATTTTTCCATTACACCCTAACCTAATTAAAAGTATGACTATTCATATGTAAGAGATAAAGGAAAAAAACTCGTGTATCTTCAAATATTTCATGGAGTACAGTTTGAGAACCACTGGGTTATAGGGTAAATAGCACCAGTTAGTTGTGTATCCTTTACAGGACGTTGCAGAACCAACCCCAACAGCCCCTGGCTGTCGTGTGATTTTTCTAGGCAAATTTACTTCCAGTAGTTTACAGTAAATAGTAAAGTAAAAAGTAAAGGACCCTTTCCCGTGCCTTAAGGCGTATAGGGCATATAGGACTGGACCTATATTTGTATAGACCAATCGGCACAAGATGGGTGATGTGGTCAGTATCACGCCGGCCGCCTTCACTTTCCCAGGACTGCACCTGGTACCCACTCAAGGCTGGGTCGACCTGGGAGCCAATGTCATTTTTGAAAAAAGTCTGGCTCCGCCAGGGAGCGAACCCACAACCTTCCGATCCGCAGCGAGTGTCTAGCCGCTGGGCCACGGCAACTCCTACAGTAATTAGAGTCCCAAGTAATTTAGGCCAAAATTTGTGATTTGGAGAGTTACGACTAGTGCATTTTTTTAAGCAAAATTTACAATTAGAACTGGTTTTTTTTGGGGGGAAAACATGGTAAAAATCAAACAGACCTGTATTCATTGACACTCATAGAAAGAAGTAAAAAATAGAAGGACACACTAGACAACATGCAAATCACCAACCATAATTACCATGACAGGAATGGAACATGTAATATAGAGACTGGCATTGCTTTACTATTTATGATTACAGATAAGAGATGGAGGTGACTCAAATGCTAGAGAGATGAAAAAGTTGTGTGGCGGCAACTTTCCTGATCCTGTGCAGTCGACAGGCAACCATTTGTGGCTGAACTTCAAGGCAGATCATATTATTGCTCATCAGGGCTTCAGGCTTGAATGGGTGGTTGATGGTGAGTGATTGGATGCCATTTGCAATCATTTAACCAAGTTTTTGCCTCCCTAAACTTGTTTTGTACCTCATTCAGCACAAAGTCTCAACAAATGTCTAAACTTTTGCTAAAATAAATAGTTTCCCACCTGTAAAGGAGTGTCTATTTCTTTCTACTGTGTCTCTCTCGTACTTACTTTCGCTTATACCCACTCGACCCAGGCCACTGTCTGGACCCACTGCTTCCAGATAGGTATGTTGTAAACGGTGACTTATTAAAAGTTTGCTAGAATCACATGTTAGTTAGTTAGTTAGCTAGTTAGTTAGTTGGGTTATCATCATTGCACTCCGGGCATGTCCATAGGTGCTCAGATCCTCCCCTCAGTATGAACCCCAATGTCCGATGGCTAATAGTACCAGTTCTATGTTTATTAATAAGTCTTCTGGCGTGTCTGGTGTGCATCTCGTTTTTTGCTGTGCCAATTTTAATTCCCAAGTCTGCCATTCTGGTGAGTAATGTGGGTTCACTGCCACCAAAGTCCTCTATCCTTCCGATTTCTCTGAGGGCATTAATAATATCAGCATGATCCATAGGCTGACCGTCGGTAGTGATAGCGGATCCAGCAAACCTGTCAGCTCTTTCATTTCCTGCGTGTCCCGGAACAAAAATAAAGGTGACTCCACGCACAGTGGACTTCTGTAATGATTTAAGCCATTGTCTTCTCACCGAACCTGCCTGAACCCTCCGGATCATACTAATTAAATCACTGAGTATACATACGCGGGTGTATTTTTGTGTTTCAAGCCAGGCAAGCGCTTGCGTCACTGCCATCACCTCCATCATCATGCTGCTGGTTGTCATGGAGAAGGCGCCGTTGGCTTCTTTGACTTTTCTGCCCGCTGAGTGTGCTGTAAATCACATGAGCTGGGCAGAAAGTTATATTTGTTACATGCAAGATGTAAATCACAATAACCATGCCAACTGCCATGTTGGGGGAGAAATGCATTCATTCATGTAGCAGGTCCTTTGGAGAACATCCCTCTCATCGCGGTCTGCCCAGTGTTGCCACTTTTCTTTGACAAAACACATCAAAAATGGAGTAAAAAATATCTAAAAACATCTAAATTTGCGTGGGAAACATCTTGAAAAAACATCCAAATGGATAGAGTCACAAATTACATAGCAATTGAAATTACTTACCCTTTAGAATCATGTCCTCATCTTTACTGAAGTCTGCCTTACAAGATCCACAGGTTAAACTTAGCTTGGATGATGAAGTTGAAGCTTCAGATCCAAAATGACTCTGGTATGCTTTAGCTGTTCCAATTTCTTTTAATACTCAATCAGGGAGCTGATAAGTGGAACATCCTTTTCCTACTTTTATAAGGCAAACTTTTATTGTCAAGATAGCATTTAAGAGGTCAAATTTCATCCTGTTTCTTGTGTTAGATTTGATAAATTCACTCTAAATGAAAACATATAGAAAAACATTTACCATCTAAACATCAAAAATGCCATCTAAATGCAAGGAAAAACATCTAAATCTGGATGTAAAACATCAAAAGTGGCAACACTGGGTCTGCCTGAAAGAAACTCAGTCTCCAGCAAGCTCTCCTGCCTCATGTACTTTCATATTCAAGGAGTCACTTATATCCTGTGCCCATCTTCATGTTGATCAACTTCTGCCCATCTTTCCTGGTACCAGGCATTCTGCTATTATTTTTTCCAATCCTACATGGTGCTTGATATGACCAAAATATCTCAGCTTCCAAGACAACTTGTTGTTTATTAACCAGTCTTCCTTGATTTTCTAATCTTTTAAAATGTCAGTATTTCTTCCATGGTATACTAAAAATTTTTCTATAGCATTTCAGCTCAAAAGCCCCTATTTTCTTTCTTAAAGAGTGGGAGATAGTCCACAATTCACGTCTGGTATATGCTCTCAAAATTTTTAATTTGCTTTTCTTGCTGGTGCTCAGTCACAGACTTTTGATTTCTGTCAAATAGTCTCTATTGCTGTGCCATCCTCCTTTTGATGTTTGTCAAATAGTCTCCATTGCTGTGCCATCTTCCTTTTGATTTTTGTCAAATAGTCTCCATTGCTGTGCCATCCTCCTTTTGATTTCTGTCAAATAGTCTCTATTGCTGTGCCATCCTCCTTTTGATTTCTGTCAAATAGTCTCCATTGCTGTGCCATCCTCTTTTGATTTCTGTCAAATAGTCTCCATTGCTGTGCCATCCTCTTTTTGATTTCTGTCAAATAGTCTCCATTGCTGTGCCATCCTCCTTTTGATTTCTGTCAAATAGTCTCCATTGCTGTACCATCCTCCTTTTGATTTCTGTCAAATAGTCTCCATTGCTGTGCCATCCTCTTTTTGATTTCTGTCAAATAGTCTCTATTGCTGTGCCATCCTCCTTTTGATTTCTTTCAAATAGTCTCTATTGCTGTGCCATCCTCCTTTTGATTTCTGTCAAATAGTCTCCATTGCTGTACCATCCTCCTTTTGATTTCTGTCAAATAGTCTCCATTGCTGTACCATCCTCCTTTTGATTTCTGTCAAATAGTCTCTATTGCTGTGCCATCCAATCCTCCTTTTGATTTCTGTCAAATAGTCTCCATTGCTGTACCATTCTCTTTTGATTTCTGTCAAATAGTCTCCATAGCTGTACCATTCTCTTTTGATTTCTGCCAAATAGTCTCCATTGCTGTGCCATCCTCCTTTGATTTCTGTCAAATAGTCTCCATTGCTGTACCATTCTCTTTTGATTTCTGTCAACTAGTCTCCATTGCTGTGCCATCCTCCTTTTGATTTCTGTCAAATAGTCTCCATTGCTGTGCCATCCAATCCTCCCTTTGATTTCTGTCAAATAGTCTCCATTGCTGTACCATTCTCTTTTGATTTCTGTCAAATAGTCTCCATTGCTGTGCCATTATCTTTTGATTTCTGTCAAATAGTCTCTATTGCTGTGCCATCCTCCTTTTGATTTCTGTCAAATAGTCTCCATTGCTGTGCCATCCTCCTTTTGTCAAATAGTCTCCATTGCTGTGCCATCCTCCTTTTGATTTCTGTCAAATAGTCTCCATTGCTGTACCATTCTCTTTTGATTTCTGTCAAATAGTCTCCATTGCTGTACCATTCTCTTTTGATTTCTGTCAAATAGTCTCCATTGCTGTGCCATCCTCCTTTTGATTTCTGTCAAAATGTCTCCATTGCTGTGCCATCCTCCTTTTGATTTCTGTCAAATAGTCTCCATTGCTGTACCATCCTCCTTTTGATTTCTGTCAAATAGTCTCCATTGCTGTGCCATCCTCTTTTTGATTTCTGTCAAATAGTCTCTATTGCTGTGCCATCCTCCTTTTGATTTCTTTCAAATAGTCTCTATTGCTGTGCCATCCTCCTTTTGATTTCTTTCAAATAGTCTCTATTGCTGTGCCATCCTCCTTTTGATTTCTGTCAAATAGTCTCCATTGCTGTACCATCCTCCTTTTGATTTCTGTCAAATAGTCTCCATTGCTGTACCATCCTCCTTTTGATTTCTGTCAAATAGTCTCCATTGCTGTGCCATCCTCTTTTGATTTCTGTCAAATAGTCTCTATTTGCTGTGCCATCCTCCCTTTTGATTTCTTTCAAATAGTCTCTATTGCTGTGCCATCCTCCTTTTGATTTCTGTCAAATAGTCTCCATTGCTGTGCCATCCTCCTTTTGATTTCTGTCAAATAGTCTCCATTGCTGTGGCCATCCTCCTTTTGATTTCTGTCAAATAGTCTCTATTGCTGTGCCATTCTCTTTTGATTTCTGTCAAATAGTCTCCATTGCTGTGCCATCCTCCTTTTGATTTCTGTCAAATAGTCTCTATTGCTGTCCCATTCTCTTTTGATTTCTGTCAAATAGTCTCCATTGCTGTGCCATCCTCCTTTTGATTTCTGTCAAATAGTCTCTATTGCTGTACCATCCTTCTTTTGATTTCTGTCAAATAGTCTCTATTGCCATTTATTAAAGAGCCTAGGTATTCACATTTTAAGGTCACATGCAGGCGGGGGGGGGGGATTTATACTAAGACAAGTGCGACCACAGAACTTCCATGCCCATTGATGGTACACTGGTCATTATCTCTGTATCTAATTGTGTCCCTTTGTCTCAAGGATGTGGTGGACACCTCTCTGGCAGCAGTGGAACAATCACAAGTCCCAACGACCCACACCTAAACTCACAGCGTGCAGTGGAATGTCAGTGGACTATTACTGTGGACACGGGAAAATCTATTCAAGTGACAGTTAACACATTTGATCTGGGAAGCTATGTAGACTGCCAGAATGGGTTTTTGAAGGTAAGTGAATATTGTTCCTGTTTGTTGTTTTTGTTCAATGTTGTGATGTCAATGTAGCCAGACACACGACCATCCTCTGCTTCAGGCTATTCTTGTTTACTCCATGTCTAGAAAACATCTGTTTCTTTGTAATTACCTTTACTTCTGTTTTTGCTTCTTTTTCTTTGCCTCCTCCTCTCCTTCTTCTTCTCTAATAGACTAATATTAATTAGCTTTTTCTACTTATTCCCTGGCATACTCCTTTGTACCTCGTCAGGTGCATATTACAGTAACAATTACATAAATGAAGCAAATAAGTAAATCCTTTATAAGTGAAGTACAAATTAAACCACACTCAAAAGCGACTACTTGTTTTACTACTGCAATGACAAATTCAGAACCATGTCTTTCTGTTTACAATGTTCATGGTGCAGGTAACCAATTGTGACGCCTTCAAGAGATCTTAGCACTCTGCCAGTGGACGACTTATGAAGAATTTGAAACAGGTTGTCCTTGACAAGATATAGCCCAATATGTCAGGCAATAAATTGTGCAATACATTGTCTGTGTCTTCTTTGTTCAAATTTATAAGAGGAATACCTTGCTTTGATTTTACTATTTAGTTTATTTTTGTTCACTGAAAAATGTTTCCTTATTTGTTGGTTGTGTCTTTCTTTCTTTACTTTATTTTGTGTGTGTGTCTGTACTCTGCTGTATATATCATAAAAAAATGTCAGTCCAAACGAAAAGTACTTCAGCCAGCTTCACACTGTAACAGACTACTCTGCTTTGTTCAGCTAAGCGTCACAGGTTAATAAAGTTCGGTTTCTGAGCTGGGGCATGCTTGGTTGCCTGGCATGCTGGGATGTTGTGAAGTCTCAAGGCATCACTTACTCTCTTAATCCATCATCTTCTCGTTTCCCTAGCTTTTAGTGTTTATGCTTTCGTGTTGTATGCTCTAATTGCCAGCATTATTTGATTCACTCTCATTAAATGGCCAAAACCGTTGTTGTTTTTCAGTGAATTTAATTATAAGTTTTGTTTCAATCACTCTTTAAATTTCTCCATTTTCGCAGGTGATCTCTTCTGCTTTTATTCATGGCCTTTCTCAAATATCTCCTTTTGCAGGTGGTCAGTTTTTTGTGTTCTTTAGTCAGTGTCCGTCTGACACACTGATAGCACTAGGTGGTTGTATTTTTAGTCAGTGTCCAAGTCTGACACTGATAGCACAAGGTTGTTGTATTTTTAGTCAGTGTCCAAGTCCGACACTGATAGCACAAGGTTGTTGTATTTTTAGTCAGTGTCGAAGTCTGACACTGATAGCACTAGGTGGTTGTATTTTTAGTCAGTGTCCAAGTCTGACACTGATAGCACAAGGTTGTTGTATTTTTAGTCAGTGTCCAAGTCCGACACTGATAGCACAAGGTTGTTGTATTTTTAGTCAGTGTCCAAGTCCGACACTGATAGCACAAGGTTGTTGTATTTTTAGTCAGTGTCCAAGTCTGACACTGATAGCACAAGGTTGTTGTATTTTTAGTCAGTGTCCAAGTCCGACACTGATAGCACAAGGTTGTTGTATTTTTAGTTAGTGTCCAGGTCTGACACTGATAGCACAAGGTTGTTGTATTTTTAGTCAGTGTCCAAGTCTGACACTAATAGCACAAGGTTGTTGTATTTTTAGTCAGTGTACAAGTCTGACACTGATAGCACAAGGTTGTTGTATTTTAGTCAGTGTCCAAGTCTGACACTGATAGCACAAGGTGGTTGTATTTTAGTCAGTGTCCAAGTCTGACACTGATAGCACAAGGTTGTTGTATTTCTAGTCAGTGTCCAAGTCCGACACTGATAGCACAAGGTTGTTGTATTTTTAAATCAGCTGCATGGCTTTAACCAGATTTTGCTGAAAGAAACTCTGCAATTTTTTGACTGTAGTGATTTTTCTAGACAAATGTACATTTAGTAATTTGTATATTTCTGTTTATTTAGCTTAGTCAGCATTTTTGTATTTCCGAGCAAAATGTTTGATTCTTCCTCAGGTGATTGCTGGCAGTGATATCAGCGGACCCCAGTTGACCCAGTTGTGCAGCAAACTGACCCATCCTGAGATAGTGCACACAACAGGAACGACAGCCTTCATTTACTTTAAATACTACTCTGCTTCTAGCTGGGGCAGTCGGACAGGTTTTAATCTCACCTACAGGGAGATTAATGGGGGTAACTAACCTTCTGACTCTCTAGTTGTTGCAGGACACATTTTAGGTTTAAATTTAAAGTTGTCATGTCAGCCATGAACACATGTGGGATTTAACCACAGATGTCACAATCAATACTCAAGGACTGCCCCTAATATGTTACATTGAGGCCTCTTGGCCTGAAAGAATGGTCATAGCAAGTAAACTTTAAGGACCACTGAATTAACTAAAAAAAAAAAAAACCAGGAAAGAGAGAGACAGAGAGAGACAACAATTACAGATGTAGACCACTTGCTACATGTGAACTAAGAGAAGAAGAGTAAAAAAAGAGTAATCATTTAATTGTATTCCATGCGACTGACTTGAGGACTGCAAATGATTTATTTGTGCTTCTGCTCTGTTCACTTGCTTCCAAAGGACTGTAATGATTTATTTGTGCTTCTGCTCTGTTCACTTGCTTCCAAAGGACTGTAATGATTTATTTGTGCTTCTGCTCTGTTCACTTGCTTCCAAAGGACTGTAATGATTTATTTGTGCTTCTGCTCTGTTCAGCTTCCAAAGACTGTAATGAAGCACAAATCATGAAATTGTATTCCATAGATAGGTTGTCTCCACAAAGGGCAAGATGGTATGCAGCTTGCAAAAAGCACAAAAGAACTCCATAGATGAAATTACTGTGTGTGACTGCTCCTTGATGAATGTGAAAAGCACAAATCATGAACTCTATAGATCTTGGAAATTGTTTATGCAGACAAGCTGTACTGTGACTGCTCCTTGATGAATGTGAAAAGCACAAATCATGAACTCCATAGATCCCGGAAATTGTTTATGCAGACAAGCTGTACTGTGACTGCTCCTTGATAAATGTGAACATTTAGACAAGGTCTTGAGAACCATCGATCCGTCTAATTGTCCATCTAATTGGCTGCTTTTCACCTAAGGGCCTAAATGTCAAATACAGTTTTTTTTTTTTTAGTTTCAGCCCTTGCCTGTCAGACCTCTTTCTTCATGATTCATATCCTGTATCACACTTGCCTCAGAGTGCCTACTGGACAGACATGTCATTGATATTTCTTGGAGAGGCTTAAGTTAGGTGACCGTATTCTTGTGACATTGGTTATTTCAAATGCTACTGCAGTCTTTAGCTGCAACATTCTTTTGTTGTTCTTGATTGTGATAGTGTTGAATGTTGAATTAGTAATCAACATCATAGCACTCAGAACACTCTATAAGTGCTCCATCCCTATCTTCAGCAGCAAGTGAAGAGTTCTATTCCTTATGGCACTAGTAACTATCTGATTGTATATCCATCTCGCCTTTCCCTTGAGTGTTGAGTGATGGCCATATCCCCTGGTAAGTCTTTGCAGTCCATTCTCCTCAGACCGTAATGATCTATTTGTGCTTCCGCTCTGTTCACTTGCTTCCAAAGGACCCTAACAACATCTAGCTTGTCATACATCAGTTCACTACCAAGTAGTACAGTATTTGCCTGCTCATTTCCTAACACACTGACATGACCTGAAGAAAATATCAAATGAATTGTGATAACTTAAGGTGGACTAGTTTTACTCCTCATCTGGTTTGATCTCTTTTTGGTATTAACTATAGACAGGGTGATGATGAATGTATTAAACAATCCTTGACTATAGACAGGGTGATGATGAATGTATTAAACAATCATTAACTATAGACAGGGTGATGAAGAATGTATTAAACAATCATTAATTATAGACAGGGTGATGATGATTGTATTAAACAATCATTAACTACAGACAAGGTGATGATGAATGTATTAAACAATCATTAACTATAGACAGGGTAATGATGAATGTATTAAACAATCATTAACTATAGACAGGGTGATGATGAATGTTTTAAACAATCATTAACTATAGACAGGGTGATGATGAATGTATTAAACAATCATTTACTATAGACAGGGTAAAGATGAATGTATTGAATAATCATTTACTAACGACAGGGTGATGATGAATGTATTAAACAATCATTTACTATAGACAGGGTGATGATGAATGTATTAAACAATCATTTACTATAGACAGGGTGATGATGAATGTATTAAACAATCATTTACTATAGACAGGGTGAGGATGAATGTATTAAACAATCATTTACTATAGACAGGGTGATGATGATTGTATTAAACAATCATTTACTATAGACAGGGTGATGATGAATGTATTAAACAATCATTTACTATAGACAGGGTGATGATGAATGTATTAAACAATCATTTACTATAGACATGGTGATGATGAATGTATTAAACAATCATTTACTTTAGACAGGGTGATGATGATTGTATTAAACAATCATTAACTACAGACAAGGTGATGATGAATGTATTAAACAATCATTAACTATAGACAGGGTGATGATGAATGTATTAAACAATCATTTACTATAGAAAGGGTGATGATGAATGTATTAAACAATCATTCACTACAGACAGGGTGATGATGAATGTATTAAACAATCATTCACTATAGACAGGGTGATGATGAATGTATTAAACAATCATTAATTATAGACAGGGTGATTATGAATTTATTAAACAATCATTGACTATAGACAGGGTGATGATGAATGTTTAAACAATCATTTACTATAGACAGGGTGATGATGAATGTATTAAACAATCATTTACTATAGACATGGTGATGATGAATGTATTAAACAATCCTTGACTATAGACAGGGTGATGATGATGGTATTAAACAATCATTTACTATAGACAGGGTGATGATGAATGTATTAAACAATCATTTACTATAGACAGGGTGATGATGAATGTATTAAACAATCATTTACTATAGACAGGGTGATGATGAATGTATTAAACAATCATTTACTATAGACAGGGTGATGATGAATGTATTAAACAATCATTTACTATAGACATGGTGATGATGAATGTATTAAACAATCATTTACTATAGACAGGGTGATGATGAATGTATTAAACAATCATTTACTATAGACAGGGTGATGATGAATGTATTAAACAATCATTTACTGTAGACAGGGTGACGATGAATGTATTAAACAATCATTTACTATAGACAGGGTGATGATGAATGTATTAAACAATCATTTACTATAGACATGGTGATGATGAATGTATTAAACAATCATTTACTATAGACAGGGTGATGATGAATGTATTAAACAATCATTTAATATAGACAGGGTGATGATGAATGCATTAAACAATCATTTACTATAGACAGGGTGATGATGAATGTATTAAACAATCATTTACTATAGACAGGGTGATGATGAATGTATTAAACAATCATTTACTATAGACAGGGTGATGATGAATGTTTTAAACAATAACTATAGACAGGGTGATGATGAATGTATTAAACAATCATTTACTATAGACAGGGTGATGATGAATGTATTAAACAATTATTTACTATAGACAGGGTGATGATGAATGTATTAAACAATCATTTACTATAGACAGGGTGATGATGAATGTATTAAACAATCATTTACTATAGACATGGTGATGATGATTGTATTAAACAATCATTTACTATAGACAGGGTGATGATGAATGTATTAAACAATCATTTACTATAGACAGGGTGATGATGAATGTATTAAACAATCATTTACTATAGACAGGGTGATGATGAATGTATTAAACAATCATTTACTATAGACAGGGTGATGATGAATATATTAAACAATCATTTACTATAGACAGGGTGATGATGAATGTATAAAACAATCATTTACTATAGACAAGATTGATGATGAATGTATTAAACAATCATTTACTATAAACAGGGTGATGATGAATGTATTAAACAATCATTAACAATAGACAGGGTGATTATGAATGTATTAAACAATCATTAACTGTAGACACAGTGGTGATAATTGTATTACAAAAGCCTAACTATAGATGTAGTGATGGTAAAAGTTGTACACAAGCTTTAACTATAAATGGAGTGATGGTTAATGTTTTGCATAATCATTGGGTATAGATAGAAATAGGGTGAATGTATTACTCAACCTATAATTACACATGATTTGAAATGCTCTAGAGTTTGGACCACATCTCCAATAATAACCATTTAAAGTATAATGTTACAGAGTACAAGTGAGACTCTGACAGCTATAGAAACACATTTTTACAATAATAATATCAATAAACTGAAATGGTTCTGCGACAGGCTGTGGGGGAAAGTTTACTGCTAGGACTGCCACCATCATGTCCCCCAATTATCAACACCACTCTGAGCAGGACGTGGAGTGTGAGTGGAACATCACTGTAGCACCCGGGCAAGTGGTGTCCTTGACCTTCAGTGATTATCAGCTTTATAGTTATGATTGTTCTGCCAACTTTGTCAAGGTGAGTTTCAAGAATAATGAGTTTGAATTGACATTTGCAAATGGTTGGAAGATGGCTGCTGAAGATGGGTGCAGAACATGTATGGGAATGTCCCAATGGAATGAGTAAATAAACAAATTTAGAATTGATATTTTTAGACAGGGTCTGCTTGGAAGCTGGCAGTTATGAGAAAACCCACCATCATGAGGATTTGCACACAAGACCTTCAGGCAGCATTTAGGTGTTCTAGCCATGGCACTTTACAGCAGCTTCTTTAAAGGAGGAGACGGAAGTACTTATGGAGATATCTGTAATTTATGAAACTGATCCATTACAAACTAAATGCATGTTGTTTTCTAACAGCTGTATGATGGACCCAGTGCTGAAGCTCATTTGATCACACGTCTGTGTAGGGATGTAGGAAGTAGCAGTCAGTACAATTCCAGTGGAAACCACATGTTTATACGGATGCAGACTAGTGGGGACAGTGGCAGGGGTTTCAGTGCTACTTACACCACAGGTGAGAGCTACCCTTGACGTACATGGTTTATTCTGAGTTATACTAAATGTGTGAGAATTATCCTAAATGTGTGAGAGTTATCCTAAATGTGTGAGAGTTATCCTAAATGTGTGAGAGTTATCCTAAATGTGTGAGAATTATCCTAAATGTGTGAGAGTTATCCTAAATGTGTGAGAGTTATCCTAAATGTGTGAGAGTTATCCTAATTGTGAGAGAGTTGTCCTAAATATATGAGAGTTACATTCAAGATGAGAATTATCCACAATGTGCATGAATTAATCGAAGTAAATGAGAGTCTTGATCTATATATGAAAGTGATCTGTAATATTTGAGAGTTATCTCCAGTATTTGTATTATCCTCTCTCTTTGTGATTCAGTGTCTGTACCTATATATACACTCAACTATGTCTCCATGTTAATAACTTACATGTGGATGTTTCTTTTTAGGATGTGGAGGTATGCTGAATGCAGACACTGACGGACAGATCTTCTCTCCAGGATACCCTGGCCGGTATCCGTGGAACACACAATGTGTTTGGATTATCAGCTCTTCCTTCCATGGTGAGTCTGTGCTGTGCCCTACATGTCATGGGTGTGGTGCACACATCAACACACATTCTGACAGCTTGCCTGCCAACCTCATAGATCTCTTCTGCTTCTTCAGGTGCCTGATTTGCGGCAAACATTGACCATCATGACTCTCCAATCTTATTTATCACATGATTTTTCTATGAAGATGGGGTTGCTCATATTATTTTTTGTTCCAGCTGCTTAAGCTTTTAGCTTACATCATTCTGTGCCTCTCTTGGCTAGTATTTCTCTAACATAACTAAAGAGCTAATTGCTGTACTTTACTGATTCTGCTGATATTTCCTAAAAATATGGTCTTTTCCTGAAGGTTTTGATGAGGAATCATGTCATCTTTGATCTCCCAGTACCCCAGCGTTTACTTTCTTCTCTTCTCTTGATATTTTCTTCTTCTTCTTCTTCAGCATTCTGAGCCCTTGAGGTTCACTGCTGCAGATATCACCCGCCTCCATTCATCTCTCTGGTTGGCCTTCTCTTTCCAGTTGGTAACACCAAATGTTTGCAGGTCTTCCTGGACATTAGGTCTCCATTGTCTTCTTGGTCTGCCTCGTGGTCTACAACCATTCATCTCCCTTGTGTATACAGTTTTTACTTCTCTGTCATCTGACATTCTCTCAATATGCCCCTACCATTTCAATCTATCACCAAAGGGTGTTGCCATGGAGTGGGGGCACCAAGAGTTCAGGGGACAGTTGGGGATGCAGTCCCAGGGGGGAGTCATGGGGCAGAGAGGTGTGGGAACGGTTAGCCCGCATCCAGGAGGAAGGGCAGGGGGGCAGATCATGGGCATTTCCCCCGCCATCCAAGGGAAGGCTTCCATAAATGCAGAGCTGGCAACATATAGCAGAAGCTCGGGTGTTCTTGGCTCACCCAGGAAGGCAGCCATAATCAGGGGGACGTCCATGCACATAAGAGGTGCAGGGGGACAAAGGGCCTCACAACCGTATTAGGGCTTTCCCGCTCGATACAGAGGGCTGCGCCCTCCGGAGATCAGCGGAGAGCAGCCCAGTGGGTTCTTGACTTGTTGTCAGACCACAAGAATAGGTACAATCTGGTACAGAGATCAAGCTTTTTCAAATGCCACAATTGTCATTCTTTAGCGTGCTGGTTAGCATGGACAGCCAGATGGAGAAATTCTGGTGTCAGGGACAGAGGGTAGCTTTTCAGGATGTTTAGTCTCAAAACTCGGCGGAGTGGGGTCAGAGTCGAAGGATGTGGGACAACTGGACTTTTAGCACTCAATAGGGGGAGAGGTCAGATTTTTAGGTTGTCCAATGTGCCGCTAGGGAATCTATTTTGTCAGACAATCCGGAATTTCACCAGGCTGATGGATGGTTGCTGTCAGAGGGGTGTACCTCAGGCCATGGTGGCAGGAGGTTCAGTCACAGAAGGCAGACTCAGAGGGTCCAGAGGAGAGAGTCAGTACAGCAGGGCAGCTGGGCATACAGTTGCTGCAGAGCAGACGCAGGAGTCCAGGACAGGAGTCATTTGTTACTCAGGGTGTGCCTGCATAGAAGCAGGACGGTCAGCGTTCTAAGGGTCAGAGCAGGGTAAGGAGAGTCTCAGCAGCCAGCAAGGTTCTCTCCAGTCCCGCCCTACAAGAGCAGAGAGACAGAGAGAGGCAGGTCAGAGTGTCAGAGAGTTCAGACAGAGTTCTAGTCCAGTACAGAGCAAGGCAAGCACTTTACTCATCCAGGCAGCAGGTTAGACAGAGTTCAGACAGGCTAAGTTTCAGAACATCAAGAGTTAGCTGTTTCAGAGCAGCAGCAGAGAGCATGCAGTAGTTTGGGGTCAGAGCAGCAAGAGAGAGAGAGGCCACAGGAGTTTAAGTAGAGGCCAGTCAGACAAGGGCAAGTCAGCACAATGAAGCAGGGGGCAGCCCAGAAGGGCAGGTAGAAGATAAGGACCAAGAGTCAAGAGTCCTGACAGCAACACCTCAGGGGAAGCAGTCAAGAAAGAGAGTCCTAGGGGCTCAGAGATCAAAGAGGCGGGGCAGAGCCAGCAGAGGCCAGGATTGCAGGAGATGTAAGGAGTCTCTGCGTGGAGAAGTTCAGAGTAGACAGGAACCAGTTCCCAACAGTGCAGGGAGTCGGCGCCCAGACATGAGGGCAGAGTAAGGCAGGACGCAGACACTCATGCCCTTCATACAGATCACGTAGGACAGAGTTAACTCCAGAGAGGACCACCAGGTCAGACAGAGTGACAAGGAGGTCAAAGGTCAGCAGCAGCAGGGCGCCAGGCGTACCAGGACAAGAGCAAAGGAAGTGGTTCAGGAGGTAGAAAGCAGTTCCAGACAGAGCCAGAGTTCAGATTTTCAGAGGTGCAAGACAGCAGTCATGAGCCAGAGCAGGTCAGAGTAGCTTGAAGCAGACATATAATCGAAGAGAAGAGAAAGAGTAGCATTTGGGATGAGAGCAGGTGAGCCGATTCAGTATCAGAGCAGAGTACAAGGTAATAGTGTACACAGTCAGTAGAGCAGCATTCAGGAAGAGCCCAGAGGGAGAGAGACAAGATTCTTAGAGGGAGAGTATTTCAGGCCATCAGACGCAGCATTGTAGCAGAGGGAAGTTTGGTACCAAAGTACTTATTTGATTCAGAGTACAGTGATGTCAAGCATTATCACAGCAGACGTGTTAGGAGCAAGTGGCCAGCCAGAGTTAGCATTGCGAGTTTTTTCAAGAGTTCCACCAGTTCAGTGCAGGTATATAGGAGCAGCATACACTATTAGACAAGTAGCAGAGAGAGAGAGCAGAAAACAATATAGAGCGTCCCATGAAGGAGCAGCACAGACCAGCCATAGCAGAGCAGCAGATATATAGCAGAGCAGAGCAGAATGATATATACATATAGCAGTCTAATAGACAGAACAGAGCATATATAATATAGCAAAGCAGCAGCACCCACACAAGAGCTTTGCATGCACAACGCATGCAGCATGTCAGTAGTTCAAGCACAGAATGCATACAAGCAGAGAGCACAAGAGTCACAGACACATCCATATCAGAGTCACAGGAGCTCTAGTTTTTTTTTCATCAGATTCACAAGGCCAGACCAGCAGATATCTTAGCAGAGTGCATGCAGAGACCACATGTGTATATATGCATTTAGAGAGAGTACAGAGCATGCTAGGAGAGAGAGCCCAGACAGCAGAGACCAGAGAGAAGCAGGCAGCAGAGCAAAGGTTAGAGCTGCAGTCATTGCATGAAGTATATATTGTAGATTAGGCAGAGTTCAAAGAGTTGATTCTTCGCGGCTCAGACCAGATGAAACAGAATCTCAGAGGCAGAACAAGTTCTGAGGGTTCGGAACAGACCACTTCAGAAGAGGACTGCAAGAGAGTCCAGAAGGGGCCAGAAGTGTCAGAGAAAGGTTCATCAGAGCTTTTTAGAGGCATGACTCAAGAGAGATTTGTATGCAGAGAGCAAGAGTTGCAGGTCAAGACAGAGTTTGCAGAAGGAGGCATAGCAAGGGAGGTAAGAAAGGCAGCAGGCAGAGTTCCAGAGCAGGAAGATACAGGGAAGATAGAGGGAGGCTACCAGTTACAACAGAGTCATTCAGCAGAGAGACAGACAAGATGAGAAAGCATCAGAAGGCCAGAAGTGGAGGAGCAGAGAGTGGAAGAGTGGGCCAGGTTAGTTTGAATCTTCAAACAGACTTTCCAGGGTAGGCAGAGGCAGACAGCAGAGGGGTTCAGGGGAAGCTCAGAGGAGAGAGGGTCAGGGGTCAGGGGGTTCTCAAGAGGAGGGAGCTTCTCTCTTCTCTTCTCTCAGGGGAGTCTTTCCTCTCAGAGCACTATGCAGCAGGTCTCTCAGCAGGGCAAGAGGCAGGAGTGGAGGGGTCTCAGAGAAAGAGATTAGGGCTCAGGTGCAGTAAGAGTTCTCTCTTTCTGTTCAGCTTCTCAGGTGTTAATTTCAGAGACAGGAAGTAAATTCTCTCAGCAGTCTCAGAGGGAGGAGCCAGTCAGGCACAAGAAGGGGGGAGGTCTCAGCAGGAAGCAGTCTCTCAAGTCATCTCTTCACAGGGGGAGTCAGATCCAGCAGGGATCAAGTGCAGTCCAATTCCAGGAGAGAGAGTCCAGAGTTGTGTGGTCAAGTCTCAGGCAGAGGGGGGGGGGGGAGAGGGGTTAAGCCCTTTCTCAGTTAATTTCAAGAGTCAGGGGGCCAGGAGGCTTCTCAGGGGCAGGGTTAATCAGGGATATCAAAGAGCAGCCAGCAAGGGAGTGTGGTGAGGGGGCAAGCAGGGCCAAGGGGGGGTCAGGGTCTAGGAGCTCTCTGCTCTCCTGAGGAGAGGGTTCAGGGTGAAAGCAAGGGGAGTCAGGTCAAGGGTGGCAGGAGAGCAGGGGGGGATTTGTTTTGCAGTCTCAGTCTGTCAGGTTAGATGAGGGTCTCAAGGAGGGATGTTCAGGAGTCTTTTTTCAGGTCGCTCTCTCTGAGGAGACCAGCAGGGGGCAGGCATCCAATCGGGGAGCAAGAGGGCAGCAAGACAGAAGGGTGAAGAGGAGGGGGCAGGAGGAGAGTCAGAAGGATCCATGTCAAGGGGGAAGCAGAGGAAGCCAAGGAGTGGGGCAGGTCCAGGTTTAGTTCAAAGAGAAAGCAAGTCACAGAGGGGAGCAGAAGGAGCAGGCAGGGCAAGAGTCAGAAACATAATCTTTCTTCTTCCTTCTTCCGTTACCTGGTTGTGAATTCCGGCAGAAGGTCCCAGTTAATCGTCTGCTTGAACTTTTGGCTTTTACCTGGACCTGAGTATTGCGTGTGTAACCATTTTATTGGCTTTTACTGTTCCCTGCCTCACGGGCAGATGTACTCCGACTTCGAGGGAAGACGTCAGGCCTATTTCTAGGATGACTGTGGCCATTGTTTTGTGTGGGTCGAGATGTTACCTTATTTGTGTGGTGTCCTCTTTGTCCCTTTCACCAAAGGTGTTGCCCTGGAGTACCCCCTTTGGGGCAGCCCTGTGTGGAACGGTTAGCCCGC